TTCTCTCCTTTTTTTTTAAATAAAACAATTAAAAGTGGTTTTTGTTGTAAGAAAGGAAAAAAAGAAATTTTGTAAGCATTATACATATTATAAGTTAAATTTTTGCAACTATGTTCTCAAATATGCATACTGTTGAAATATATGAAATTAAAAATAACTTTTACGTTAATATACTTTTGTGACAATGTATGCATACTGATAAAATGCATACATTGCTCTTAAGTATGCATACTGATGAAATAAATATAAAAAAATTAAAAACTCTTACGACTATACAATTTTTGCAACGATGTTCTGAAATATGCATATTGTTGAAATGCAAAAAGTAATTTAAATTTTCTAGTGGTAATGCTCTTTAAAGATAATTTTTAAAATATTTTGCTGATTTTGATATTTGATTGCCTTTAATAAATAAACAGGACATTCTTCAATCATTCTGCCCTTAATGTGCATTTTGAGAATTCTTTTCAAAGTTGACTTAAAACCGTCAATATTAGTTTACCAAGGAAAATTAGAAGATAAATTTTTTTCAGACAACCATGTTTAAGTTTTATCTTACTTGTCAAGCTGATTCAGAATTTTCAATCTCACTTCCTCAATGGTGATTCGGCAGAATTCGATAACGTATTTGCCTTTTTCTTAGTTGCATATTTAATGAGTAAATGAAATATCAACTTTTCTTTTTGCAAGGATCCGAAAACTAAGGGTTGTGATTGCAGAATACCCTAAATAACTCTAAAAACATGTTAAAGTAACTTATTTTATCTTGAAAATTGTATGTTTTTGCTAAAAAGAAAAAGAATATGAAAATGACGTTTTTTAATCGAATTACTTAAGAGCAAAACATGCATTTGCAATTAAAAAATATTTAAGCAGAACCTTTTTGGTGCACCAACACCAATTATTACGAAATTATCAAATTGCTGTTAATAATTTCGCATTAGAATTTTCTAACTAAACATTTTAGAATGCATATGACTATACTAATCGAACACAAACTTACACAAAATAATGTTAACTCTTTAAAGTTCATTTCCATGAATTACAAATGTTTCAACAAACATTAACTACAAATTTTAAGAAGCAGTCCACGAGAAAGAATAGTTTCGTACCCTTAATGATGCTTATTAATCTTCTTTTTTTTAAAAAATGGCAAAAACACTAATGGCTCGACAACTAGCGTGCCATTAAAATCTTCTGTCGAAACCCTAGAAAAAGGTAGGGGTAGAAAGCGGATAGTAAAGGGTTAATTACAATTCGAAATTTCAGTTCTCTCCCCTTTCGAGCTTAGCAACGATTAATGAGGTAGGGTAGCTGGGAAGTTTAATTGATATGTTTATGCCTCTGCCAGACTGACTGATGAATAATTCTTAATGATTTAAAATTTGCGAAAATTTGGACATCATTTGCTGAGTGGTGCACTTTGCGAAATGCTTCTACAGTGACTTGGAATAGATTAATCGATGGAAGATTCTTATGTCACATAATTTAATTAATTTTCAATATATTTGATTCTTTTAAATTATTTTTGCAAATTTTCATTCATTCTTCTGCCGATGGAGTGAGTTTGTTTCCATTATAAAACTCGAATTGGAATTTAAAAAATGAATATATTTCTGAAGTTGAAAACTTGTTAGGAAACTGAAATTTTTTTTTTCAATATTAGTCGTTACAATTAGCTTTGTTTATTTAAAATCTTACAGTTTAGTTTTAGGTATCTTTGTAACAGTGAAAGCAATGTAACAGTGATTTTTCTCGATGCCATTCAAGGATAAAATTCAGGGGAAAAATTCCGGACAATTTTTGCCAGGGTCGTAATTCTAAAATAATTAAAATTTTGTTATGGTGAGCAATGCAACTTAAAAATGTTCTTTTATGCATGAACTATTATTATATAAAAATGACTAAAAATAATGTACTTTGTTTAGGCAACGAAACAATGATATGCCTTTTGCATTAAACCCTTCATTTGAATTTTATTCCAAATCGTATTTTTATATTTTGCAAATATATTCTAATAATTTCCACCCAAATTGTGCAAAAGTAAATTCAGTAATCTTTAATAGTGTTTTTCAAACTATGCCGGTATTCAGGTGTTACAAGTTGCGAAAGATAATTCTTAAACACAATATTAAACTGCGAATTGTAACATTTTGTCACTAAACTTATAAACGTTTTTTCCCAAATCCTAAAATTGTTCTATTTAATTTAGCAATAGTAGTACTTCCAATGTAAATTATTGCTTCATTATTTACTTATTTTAATAAGCAAGAAAAGAAATTATTTTTTTAGCATAAAGAAAAACGATAAATAACCAGATAGAGGAATCGATAAAAGCAATATTTATGAAAAAATATCACCGATGGTTAAAGTATAACGTCTTAAAGTCGTCCTGCTTTTAGAGTTATCTGGGTGATTTTTATAATTTTTAAGTAAAAAGACTCTAGCTAATTTAACTAATCTTGTCATTTAAGTTCTCTTGTCTACTGAAAGATTCAAATTTACATCGCAAAGAAGTTTATTGATTCAAAATCGGCCCATACGATCAAAATATTTCTAAGAAGAAACATTTTATGATATTAAAAACCCCACATTCGATCATACGATTCATATATTGTCCGTTTGAAATCTTAAACTATATTGATTTGAACTATTTAAAAATTAAATAAATAAAATAAAATTTAAGTTTAAGAAGAATCAAAACTGTACAAAGAAGAAAAATAAATTAAAATTAATTGAGATTAATTCAAATATATTGATTAAACTAAATTAAATTATAAAAATTAAAGCAAAATAAACTAAAATAAGCTAAAAATAAATTCAATTAAAATGAACTAAAGTAAATGGAAGTAAAATAAATTCATACTGAAGTAAATTGAACAGAAAAAAACTAAATTAAAATAAATGAAATGGGAACCAAATTTATAGAAACCGATATAAATATAATTTAAATAAGATTAAAATAAAATAAAATAAAATAAAATAAAATAAAATAAAATAAAATAAAAGGTTTATCGATCAAAACTAATCTAATTATTAATATATCGTTCGCTATTTTAACAAGAATATAAGTTGCCACACCCTATTTACAAAATCCTCCAGAGTTTCATGTATATTATCGAATAGACTGTTTGGCTGTTCTAGTAAATTTATTCTGATAATTATGGACGGAAGTGATATTGACGGATGACGGAAGACAACTCCACACATTGATAATTATTTGATTCATCGACCAATAGATCTCGACGGCAAGGTAATATAATATACAAAGCATTCTAGCTACGTTCATACTAGCAAGGTACATTTGGTAGACTCTATTAATAGTCTGTTGTATATCACGAATACTCATACTTCAATTCAATTAACTAATTTACAGTTATCATCTTTCATACATCAAAAGAGTTAAAAACAAAATTATGCTTTTTACTGAACTGTAATCTGTGAAATCGTGGCTAACTTCATTAGAAAATGTAAAAACATATACATATTTTGAGTTTCTGTTAGAAGATTCTGAATTATCTGTAGATAGCTCTGAAAATAAGTTTTCATACTTCTGACAACTCTTGCATTTTTAATGATATTATCTTACAGACATTACTTTAGTTCGTTCGTTTATTTCTGTAAAATTGATTGCATAAGATGCATATGATTTTATGATTCTTTAATTTAAGTTCATTTTAATTTTTTTTGTTTAATGATGCAGGAGTTTTGGCGCCTATGGATCACAACCTATATAATGAGACACAAATTTTTGTATGGGAGCTAGCCAGAGCGTGGCATATAGACGAAGGGAGAGTTAAATATTTATTATATGTATATCCTCATATATCATCATATACTTCAATATTAAATAAATTATTTAAAATTATTATGTATATCAGTTATTATGTTTATACGGATTATTAAACTGTAAAATTCATTCACTTTGAAGATTTTAAAATTTAGTAAAAATAAACTTTCACGGGTGAAGCACTTGGCTTCCTGAAGTGAAAAGTACTTTTGTTTTCAAATGTTCCAAGTATGAACATCGACCATACTGCTTGCATCGGAATTCGATTTAGCAAAGTATATATTTTATAATGAAATACTTTTCACTCGAAAAACGAAAATATTAAAAATCTTTTAATACATTTTAAAAACACAACAGAAAGTTTAAATCATTTTAAGATATTTTTTTTATAGAAAGAAAGTATAAGTAATATGAATTTGATTTTGAAGAAATTCAGATATATACCTTTCTATAATAAACTTTAAAAAATGACATTTGGAATTTCTACCCATTTTTTTACATATACTCAGTATGTTATATGGATTCTAAGGAGTATTACCTCTAAAATAAAGTGTAAATGCATTTAAAGACTGTTATGTTAGAAAAAAGTAAAAAGTAGTCATGCTATATAAGGTAAAAGATTTACCCTATTTTAATAATACAGGCAGGCACCTCTCAAATCATAACTTGAGTACCGCTTAATATACATACTATTACACTCAGAAAAACAAGCTCTTACATACTAAGCACCGTTTTTGTTTAAAATTTCTGCAGACATTTTAGAAAGGATAAAAAATAAAACAAAATAACAGTATCGTAACTAAGTTTTTATTACTATAAAAATGTAAAAAAATCCTAAATAAATAACCAACCTAACTTATAATTAACTATTCAACACTATTTAAATTATTACACACAACAAATTATTGATAGATAAAGAAAGATAAGGAAATACTTGAATGCTGTTGCCACATGATATATATATATATCATGTGGCAACAGCANTATATATATTCATAGATTATGCATCGGATGACGATTGGCAAGGACAAATTTAACACGATTTAGAGTAGATTGAGAAAAAAAGCGTACTAAAAATAATATTGTACAATATTTTAATATCATATTCATTTAATATTTCCATTCATATCATGTATTATACTGCAGGTCTACAGGTATTATAGGATGCTTCTAATCGCCAAAATTGGCGACTTTCCCTTTTATGAGCATCCATACAAAGAACGAACCTACCCAGCAACCCTTTCCCTCAGAAATGGATGCTCCATTCTCCCCGAGCGTTTGAATCTGCTCTTGGGATTCCTTCTTCCTCCGCTTTTCCAACATCCATGGCACATGCGCACTTCACCCGAACATCCCGGAACACGAAGAAGAGAATCTTTTACTTCCGTCGTAGTTCTTGCCTGGATACCAAAGACGCGGACATTCAATTCGCGGAAGATGAGGATGAACCTGACAGGGATTTACCACGTGTTTTTATTTTTTTAATACCCACTTACCTAAACTGTGACTCATTAATGGAACGGGTACTAATCACAGTGACTAGTTCCTGATCCTTGTGGTTTTAATTATATTTATATCTAAAGATGAGTAGTGCTTCAAGGCAATCTCGGGCATCTCGGAGTCTGAGCCCGCCAAAAGGAAAAGAAGAATCAACGGATCGGGATCAGCACACTTGCGATAGGTAAGGAATGATTCGTGGATGGGATTGAGTTTTGTTTTGGTCAGTTCCGATTTCCCCGTGATCGGCATGAATTGATTCTATGTTTTAAAGATTTACTTGGTTCGATCGTTTGCTTATGGATTATATAGGTTTGCAAAGTAAAGACGCCATGCATTTATACATAAGTTGTCATGGTGATAGGCAAAAGTTTGTTTGCAATGTTTGTTTATCTTAAATAAGAAACTGAAAAAGTGTGAAAGTTATTCATGTCTTTTGATTAAAAAGATTATTTTGATTTTTCGATTGATTGCTATTTTGTTTGTAATAAAAGGAATATTGATAGCTTAAATTTTACATTAGTTTATGCACTATAGAAAATAAATTATTGAAAAATCTACTTCGAGAAATGTTGAAATTTTTTAATAAATATAATTAATATTTTAGAATATATTACAACTAGAAATTTCCTGAATCCAACATCACAAAATTTAACACTAGAGTATCAAAAAATACTGTGAGAATCTCTTTACAATAGCAAAAGTAAAAACACAAATTTAAACAAACTATTAATGAAATCGTATTTCTTTTAGAAAAAAAACTTTTATTGTTCTTTCTCCAGATTTTTTTCTGAACAAATTTTAAAATTATATTTATTGACGGAATTTTCTTTTCCATACCCTAGTAATAAATGGTGTCTTTTGATCTGGTATTTATCTGCAAGCAAACCTCATACATCATAATGATTTTCCTATGTATAAAGTAATAATATTTTTTGTAGCATCGTTCAATGTGCATTATAACTTTAATATTTCGAAAAATAAATTTCCTTGTTGTAAATTTTTATTGAGTTGGAGAAAAAAAAAGAGTTAAATTATGAGTTAATTTTTAGTAAAACGTTAAAATAAATTCCGTAAAGTGTTATTTAAAATTATATCTACACTGTTAGAAATTTCTCGGAAAAAATGGCTAAATAACAATTTATTGAATGGTTATTTTACAATATTTAATTAAAACAGCCAAATAACCATAAATAAAATGGTGATCAAGCCGTTAAGTTTGAGAAAAAATGTCTATTAACTGCTTTCACCTAATACGGTTTATCGCACCAACTAGAACCACCTAAAGAAGCTACTTAGTTCTTTGCAACTGCGGACATATCATGGCCGAGCGGGCTTACCTGTCTATCTTATGACCAGCGGAACTGGAGTTCCAGTCCTACTGTTGACCCCACAATATTTCCTCCATTCCTTTCAACACATGAAGAATTTCCAGTGTCCGCACTCTCCAACGCCCGTTACGTTACGAAAAGTAGAGCTTACATGCCTAGTGAAATAATTATTTTATTTTTTGCGTTTTCGAAAAATTCTAGTTGTAAATAATTAAAAAACCGTTTAGTTTTGTATTCATGGTTTTATAACCATACTTTTTTTTAAATGGTTTCAAAGCCATAAAATAAAAAAAATGTTCTTTACTTTAAACTTTACTGTTAATCGGATGCACAGACAGCTGCCAGTTAATATAATAATTTTACCATAATTTAAGAATGAAAATTTTAACAGTTTATCTTAAATATTTTGTATGGTTAAGAAGTTACAAAAGTTAAAGAAGGAATTAGAGTGTTTAGCAAATGGCTCATCAAAAAATTAGAAAAAATCTTTTTTGTAAAGGCAAATTTTATCAAATTCTGGTAGTTTCAAGTAGTAGTATCAAAAGTATAGTCAACTACCAGAATTTGATTCTGGTAATATCAAATTCTGGTAATTGACTATACTTTTTAATCCATTTCATGTATGATCTAAGTAATTTGTATTTTATGTAATCATGAAAATAGGCTTATTATATGATTTTTCTAAATTTGAGCATTGAAAGTAATACTAAAGCTTTTTAAAGTCTTATGTTATTTAATTTAGTAGTATTGCAAAAATAATAAAAGAATAAAGGCTTAAAATGTGAGCAACTATATTGCGACTAATTATTCTTGTTCTCGAATTCTCTCCACTTATTCGGTTAAATTTATTCTTCAGTTTAGTATCTTTTACTAATTGCTTGATAATAAGGACTATAATTTTGTTTACTGTAAATAGTTACCATATGAACGAAAAATTATCAAATGAATAGATTAATACCGTATACTTTAATTTAATTAAACAAAATATGTCTTTTTTTTAAAACCGGAAATATTTTTATTATATAGTACCGTGATTTTTTTCAGACTTTTCTTCTTCCGTGTAGTTATGGTTTTGACTAATTTACATGATCCTTTAAAAAGATACAATTAAAAAATTCGGCATGGGTATAAACAAAAGAGGAATGCATAAGCATTTAAAAAGTTCATTGTTGATTTTTTTTAAACGACATATTATTTTTTAACTATCTGCACAATCCTAATCTTCGTGTAAAACTCCCAACTAAAATAAAAATGTTTTGCAAGCTATAAAAGGGTATTGTACCCTACCATATATATCATAAAATGCTTTAAACCCAAGAAATGCATATTTTTTAAAAAATTACTTTTTACAACAATGAAAATTGGTTATTTCAAAGACTCTAAAAAGAGAACAACAGAAAACTTGGTAATTGTTACAGAAGCCCTTTGGTAATGATTTTGGTAAAATAAGCAGTAAAATATGGTTGTATATGCTTGTATAATAATTGTATGTGGCTGTATAATAATATGTTATAAAATTTAGTAAATACGGAAAAATTTTGCAATTTTATCATGATACCTAAGAACTATTTATTCGGTTAAATTTACTTTTTAGTTTTTTTTGTTAAATGTGTGATAATAAGAATTATAATTTTGAAAACCAAAATTTTCAGTAAACTATTATCATATGAACGGGAAAATTATCAATTGAATGGTGTAAATAACGTATATTTCGTTTTTATTAACCAGAAATATTTTTTTAAGAGAAAATCATTATCATACAGTATGGTAAAGCAATCAGAATTTTGTTCTCTGTGTAATTGCCTTAAAAGTAATGAAAATTTGTTATAGGAATGTAAAGAATGAGTTTTTAAATATTTCAAAATGCAGACTTACGGTATCCGACTAGTTTCAAAAACTTTTTTTCAAAAAATATTTATGTAAAATTTTAACAAACTAGTTTATTTGCTTTATTGTGTGCAAATGCTTATAAAATCGAAAACAATAATATTTTCTTCTTAAATGGCCATTTTTAGATAAAAATTAGGCATTTGTTCCGATTTATTCTTTGCCTTATTATTACGCTAAGCACTGTAAACAAATTTCTATCATCTAAAGCAAAAACTCCTTTGAGGATTTTATTTAGAATGCTATCAACTATGTTTCTAACTATTATCTTAAAAGCAATTTCATATACTACAGAGTTAGGGATCAATGTATTTAAAAAAGCAAATTTTTAAAAACTACCGCACTTGTCATTGCGAAAAAACATGCATGAAAAATGAAATCACATTTTTTCTCTTATTCTATAGTTTAAAACATTAGTCATATAATCATAAACACTCATGAAAACCAGTAGACAATTATTTTGCAAACCACATGAGATATTATCGTGTTTAAGGTGATGTAAAATGTAAAAAAATCTGATTTTGAGATAAACGCATTCAAATACTTAAAATTATTAGTCTATCCACTGTTATCACTTAGCACAGAAACTGTTATAACTTCGAAAATAATTAGAATACAAACGAAAGTAAAGTAGTTTTAGACAGATAAGACTACAGGGATTCTAAATTTTGTAAACAAACTGAACCTAAAAAAAATTTGCCTAAAATCATGTTTTTTAAACTAGTCAGGTAAAGAAAGGTAACACTTTTACTTTTGGAGTTATTAGAATTGCATTTTTCTCAATTAGAGTCACGCGTAAGTATTAGAATTATGCTCTTGTTAAGGCCATGTAAAAAGATTTAAAAAAAATAATAACTTAAGTGCGATATTTCTTCGAATTGAAACGCTAGGGGGTTTAAATTATGTTTAGTAGACTTTTATATTAACACTATTGAATTTTTACTTTTTCTACCGAACGTTCAAATTTATGCAAGTATGTTTAATTATAAAATAAAATACTGTACTTATTGAATGGAAATTATTTCCCAACAGACGACTTTATTATGTTGTCGTACAGCCAATTACTTAAGTCGCATGATTATTATATACACTCTACAACAAAAAAATCGACTCACCAAGAACGCACTAAGACGCGCAAAATCGACCCTCGATCAGGCTGGAATGATGCCGACTGGGGACGTATAGTCTTTAGCGACGAATCCCTCTTCCAACTGTGTCCTGACGATCATCGAAGACGTGCTTGGAGACGCACAGGGCAGAGGGGGGATCCTGCCTTCACTATTGCACGCCACACCGGCCCTCAACAAGGCATTATGGTCTGGGGTGCCATTTCCTTTGACAGCCGGACCCCTTTGGTCGTCATTAGAGGTACATTTACTGCACAGCGGTACGTCGACAACATCCTAAGACCTGATTTGCTACCGTTCCTTTTGCAGTGCTCTGGGCTGGTTTTTCAGCAGGACAATGCCAGACCACATACGGCACGTGTTGCTATGAACTGTCTGCAAGCTTGTCAAACTCTTCCTTGGCCTGCCAGATCACCAGATCTCTCTCCCGTCGAGCATGTCTGGGATATGATGGGAAGGCGATTGCATCTGGCACGGAATGTTGATGACCTCGTTCGACAATTGGATCGAATTTGGCAGGAATTACCGCAAGAGACCATCCGGGAGCTTTATCGGTCTATGCCACGCCGTGTGGCAGCTTGTATCCAGGCTAGAGGCTAGTCAACACCTTATTGAACTTGTTACTGTAACTCTGCAATAAATTATTCAATTGTTCTGAAATTTTAATCATTTACTATTCTGTACATTGTCCAATTGGAAAACTCCTTCTTGGTGAGTCGATTTTTTTGTTATAGAGTGTATTTTGAAAGCTTATACAGCAATACTTGCTTGTGAAAATAATTCGATTGATTCTACGCTGAAGTTACTGTTTTGGTACCCTTTGAAGTGTTGAAAGAGAA